TGGCTATCTTGACCTGGAACTGGCTAGGCAGAAGTGTCCAGGTCCATGGGGCATCCTGGTCACGCCAGATGCCCTGACCCGGAAATGGCTATCCTGATCTGGAACAGGCTAGGCGGAAGTGTCCGCCGGGCATATGCAAACACGCCCGACCGTGGGGGCGTGTTGTGAACCCTTCAGTTGTGCCTAGATTGAATGGACCCCCAACAGACCACAGGGGAGACCAAATCCTGTATGTAAAAACAAAGAGCCTTTATTATATTCAGGCTCCAGGGCTTGGTCCCTCTGTCTGTCTGACACAGTGGTGAGAGCAGGGAGCCCTGAGCCCAGGCTGGGTAGAGTTTTTATCATAGCAGTGGTTGGGGTGAGGGGATTTCCAGGGTTCAGGACCCTGATTGGCTGACATTGGTCTAGGGGCATCTGCAAAACAAAAATAGGTGTGTGCTAGACTCCGGGACATCTGGCCACCTTATCTAGTGGTTAGAATGTTTAGGATGTCAGGTACTTCTCCTTAAGATGTAGGCCTTCTCTGGGTGGGGTCAGCTTATGGCTTTTCCTGGGTCTGGGTGTTGCCTGCCAGTAAGCCTGTCACAGAAGCTGTGTCTGGGCCTCTAAGCCTGTCATGGCAGCTGTGTGGGCAAGCTGTTTGGGGGCCCTCCACAAAGGCAGGCAAATTTCTGTGAGTGTGAGGCCAGCCTGGTCTACATAGTGAGTTCTACGACAGCCAGGGCTGTGTAGAGAGACCCTGTCACAAAAAATCCAAAGCAAACAAAACGTATTTCCATTCCTTGATTATTCAGAGCTGAGGAGTGATGAGAGGGATCTTCTTTTCTATTTTAAAATTTTTATTACATAGTGTGTGTGTGTGTGTGTGTGTGTGTGTGTGTGTGTGTGTGTGCGCGCGCGCGTGTGTCTGCAGCACACATATCACAGTAACTGCACAGGTCTGGAGGTCAGAGGACAGTTTGTGGGAATTGGCTCCCTCTCTCTCATAACCCGAATGATGTGTCCACCCCTCGCTCTCTTGAGCTGTCTCACGCTTTCTCACTCTCACACTACACTCCATCTCTTGCGTCTCCACTGCTCTCCCTGGCCGTGTCCAGTCTGCTTTGTTCTCACCTCTGGACTCCTTTTAGATCCCTCTGGATCTTTTTTGTCTTAACCACAATACAAACCTTCCCCCTAATGGGGTGGTCATGTCGGCAGCTTCTTTACTGTGCCCCTCGAATAAAACTGGCCCATCTTTCTTGCTTCTACATCAAATTTACATTTATGTCAAGTAATCCATTAGTCTATTGTTTGTGAGCTACAATCTCCTTTGCAAGTAACTAAAATGTCTAAAAATACAAGGAAGAGCTGGGCATGGTGGCACATGCCTTTAATTCCAGCGCTGGAAAGGCAGAAGTGAGTTCAAAGCTGGTCTGATCTACATAGGTAGTTCCAGACCAGCCAAGGCTACATAAAGAAATCCTGTCTCAACCCCAACCCCTATTTAAAAAATAAAATAAACATACAAAGCAAAGCTATAATGGTTTTCATGAAATATTCATCTGTTAATGCTTTTTATCTTCACCTTATATTTGCTAAATTATGTAAAGATAGGGCGAAAAGAAAGTGGAGAGGAAGGAATTTTAATAAGAAAAAATGAAATAATCCGAGTCAACTGAGCTCAGTATACTGTGTTTCAGATCATTTGGGGGTGGGAGGGAAGTGTAAAAGACTTTGCTGCCCATCACAGAGGCCAACCCAGGAACCGATCTTTCAAGTGCCTTATTCAGAAAGCCCTCAGGCTAGAGAGCCCCAGCGGAATCAGCCTCCTCAATCCCTTTCTCATTAGCATTTTTATAGAGAAGAACCAAGAAATCAATTCAAGGTCCAGGCTTATCCTTCTGGCCAGGTGGCTTTTGTCTCTGAGGTCCCCTCCCCCTTATCTTTCTGTCACTCTCGGCATACCGTTTGTGGACACCAAAGCCAGAGTCTTGCATTACTCCTTTAAATTATTCTTTAAAGATTTATTTACTGATTGATTTTTTTTTTTTAAACAGGGTTTCTCTATGTATCCTTGACTGACTTGGAACTTGCCATGTAGACCAGGCTAGCCTCGAACTCATACAGATCCTCTGCCTCCCACTGGGGTTAAAGGCTTGTGCCACTGCAAGGAGATAAATATTTATTTTTATTATTTTATTTGAGTATACCAGGGTGCCTGTCTGTGTGAGTGAAGGTGAGAGAGAGAGGGGGCAGGGGAGAGGGGGAGAGACGGGAGAGAGGGAGACAGAGGAGACCACAAGAGGGCTTTGGATCTCTTGGAGTTGGATCCCTGTAGCTGGATGATAGTGGTACTGAGAACTGAACTCAGGTTCCCTGAAAGACCAGCAAATTGTTTTAACAGCTGAGCTGTCGCTCCAGCCTTCCTTCCTTCCTTCTCTAAAATATTTTTTACAAAATTTTACCTCTGTGTGTGTGTGTGTGTGTGTGTGTGTGTGTTGTTATGCCCAGATCCTGGGGACTCCCAAAAGACCACCAAGGAGGTTGAATCCTCTGTGTAAAAGCAAAGAACCTTTATTTTCAAGCTCTGAGCTTGGTCCCTCTGTCTGTCCAATGCAGTGGTGAGAGCAGAGAGCCCAGAGCCCAGGCCGGGTGGGGTTTTTATCATAGCAGAGGTTGCGATGAGGGGATTTCCAGGGTTCAGGACCCTGATTGGCTGACATTTATCTAGGGGTATCTGTAAAACAATAATAGGTATGTGCTTGACTCAAGGACATCTGGCCACCTTATCTAATGGTTGGAACGTTTGGGATGGGGGTTGGGGTTTTAGCTCAGTGATAGCAAGCACAAGGCCCTGGGTTCGGTCCCCAGCTCTGGGAAAAAAAAAAAAGGAATGTTTGGGATGTTTGGTACTTCCTTTTAGATGTAGGCCCTCCCTGGGTGGGGTCAACTTATGGCTTTTCCTGGAATCTGGGTGTTACTAAGCCTGTCACAGAAGCTGTGCCTGGGCCTCTTAGGCCTGTCATGGCAGCTGTGTGGTCAAGCTGTTTTGGGCCCCTCCGTGTGTGTGTGTGTGTGTGTGTGTGTGTGTGTGTGTGTGTGTGTGTGTGTGTGTGTGTAGCAGGGGGAAGGTTTGCAGACTTTTGGTTTTTCGAGGTAGGGTTTCTCTGTGTAACAGCTCTATCTGTCCTGGAACTCCCAGGCTAACCTAGAGAGCTCCACTTGCCTCTGCCTCCCAAGTACTGGGTCACCCCTCCCCCCACCACACACACACCATAAGGGGTTTGCAGACTTTAATGTCTACTGAATCTTATATCCCTTCACAATCCTTTCTTTCTGCGGTCAATGAGAAATCCTGGAAAGAAGTTGTGTCCAAAGAAACTGATTGGCTGATTAGAACTATACAGGCTAGCTTAGAACTCATGATCCTCAGGCCCCTGCCTTTTTAGTGCTGGATTTGCAGGTGTGAGCCTCTTAAACCCAGCTCTTGGCTCTTTTTAATGTTGAATTCTCTGCCTAGAGATGTTCCTGTCACCATTTTCTCAAGATACAACCTATGTGGAAGTGTGGGGACAAACTTCAACAAGACCTATGCTTTACCTCATGATGAAGGACTTGGGGAAAAGATGGCTCTAAAAATTACCATGGATTGATGGGGGCAGATGGGCTTGGTGACAGGGTCCCCATCTGTTGGTCTGCCAGTTTTACAATGAAGCTTGTTTCCCTGCCCTAGCTCATCTGTCTGTCAGGTCTTTGACAATGACAATAGCCAAATTTGGATCCAACAACAGTAAAGGGCAGCAATGCCTTGTATATATTTCTCAAGGAGGAGGGTCTCTGGGGGAGACAGCCAGCCTGCTGACACTGGCACTAGCCGCTACACAGTTGTAAGCCCTTTTTATTTCTCATCCCTCATGTTTCCAATCTCATTGCTAAAACATCTTAGTTATGTATGCATGTAGCACGTCTGTGTCTGTGTGTGCGTGCATTCGTGTGCTTCAGCATGTGTGTGGAGGTCAGAGGATAACTCTCGGAAGTTCTCTATTTCCACACTATATGGGTCCTGGGGATCCAACTCAGGTTGTTGGACTTGGCAACCTTTACCCATCAAGCCGTCTCACAGGTCCTTCCTTTTTATTTTTCCTTTTGAGACAGGGTTTCACTATGTATCCTCGATTTGCCTGGAACTCACTGTGTAGACAAGGCTGGCTTTGAACTCAGAGATCCATTGACCTCTGCCTCCTGAGTGCTGGGATTAAAAGCACCCAGCCAGGTTCTTTTCCTTTTAACCTTAAAGTCCAAGCTTAATGATGGAGCCATTGGAGGACCTTCACATTTCATGCATGTCCACCTGGTATAACCAGAGAGGTGATCATGCTCTTTGTCTGCTCTGTCCACCCAGTTAATGGTGGGTGATGAGCTCCCTCCTCTGTCTCTAGCTGACTCTTTGTTAGCTGTTAGCCTGGGTGAGCATCACCAGTCATGTCACCTCCATATGTTTCTGGTTTAGCCATTGGTGGGTGGGGGTGTGTACTGCTAGTCGTTAATTAGACCATGTTCTCTTTGTTCTCACGTATTGGTATTCATGACAGACTTACCATTTTGCAACAACAGAAAGCCAACCCCATCAACAGGACAATAAACAAATGCCTCCAAAAATCCTTTAGTGCCACAAACAGCTTGGTGAGAATAGGAACGACTGGTTTTCTCTGTGTAGCTCTGGCTATCCTGGAACTCTCTGTAGACAGGCTGGCCTCTGCTCCCTCAGTGCTGGGATTAAAGGTGTGTGCCACTACCACCTGGCTTCCAAAACCTGTTTCTTATTGTTGATGGTTTTCTTTTTTCTTTCTTTCTTTCTTTTTTTCTTTTTCTTTTTTTTTCCAGAGCTGAGGACCGAACCCAGGGCCTTGCACTTGCTAGGCAAGTGCTCTACCACTGAGCTAAATCCCCAACCCCTGTTGATGGTTTTCATGTGACTGAAGGAAGTAACTGTTGGTTTGTGGTTTGGCTTACAGTACAAGTCGCCTTAATATTTGGTGCAAGAATATTAGACTATGTCTTCAACCTGTGTGAAGGTAAATTTGACTACCTGGAGCGGCTCTCAGACAAACTGCTGATAAAGATCATCTGCTACCTGGACCTTGAAGATATTGCCAGGCTTGCTCAGACATCAAGCAGGTTCGCAAAGGTAGTATTCCCCGATGCTGTGTCAGCTGCACCAAGAGCCCTCCCACTGAACTAACCTTGGGTAGCCATATTCTTCTTTATCCTTGTTTATTTGGGGCTTTGTTATTTTATTTATTGATTGATCTATCTATTTATTTATTTAATGTATATGGGTGTTTTGCCTGCATGTGTGTATATATATATATATATATATATATATATATATATATATATATATATATATATATGCACTATGTGCATGCAGTTCCCTCAGAGGCCAGAAGAGGGCATCTGATCCTCTGGAACTAAAATTATAGGCAGCTGTGAACCACCATGCCAGGTGGGTACTGGGAACAGAACTCAGGTCCTCTGCAAGAGTAGCCAGTGCTTTTAACTGCTGAGCCATTCCTCCAGACCCTGAGTCTGTCTGTCTTCTTTCCTTCCTTTTTTCCTTTCTTTCTTTATTGAGATAAGGATTTATGTAGTACATGCTAGCCTTGAACTTATTTTTCTTGTCTTTTTTCTTTCTTTCTTTTTCTATTTTGTTTGGTTTTGTTTTGGTTTTTTTTTTTTTTGGTTTTTCGAGACAGGGTTTCTCTGCGCAGCTTTGCGCCTTTCCTGGGACTCACTTGGTAGTCCAGGCTGGCCTTGAACTCACAGAGATCCGCCTGGCTCTGCCTCCCGAGTGCTGGGATTAAAGGCGTGCGCCACCACCGCCCGGCTGGTTTTGTTTTTCAAGACAGAATTTCTCTGTTTAGCCCTGGAACTCACTCTATAGACCAGAGTGGCCTCAGTGATCTGCCTGCCTCTGCCTTTCAAGTGCTGGGATAAAAGGTGTGTGACACCACACCCAGTTTAGCCTTGAACACACTCAAGGAACTTACTGTCAAATATCAGATTGCTAAACAGATACAGGTGATTACAGTATAATGTGCTGGGTTTGACAAAAAACATGTGGGCAAAGCACAAGGATTGTGTGTCAAGTGGTTTCCTGTGTTTCTTAGAAGTGAGTTACTCCATCTGGGCTTTGAGTGCAAAGAAGGGTGCATTTTTCTTTTCTTTCTTTTTTTGAATGCTGAATGCCATTTATTGAAGGAAGGAGGAGGTCTTAACTACAGGCTTACAGCACAATGGGAGAACCCCGGAGAGGAGAAGTTCACTACCAATGTTTTACAATCTTGCATCTAAGCTGTTAACACCCATTATGCAGGATACACAGACAAGGAACTTCCCTTAAGCATTCAGGAGGGTGGAACCCGGCAGGGAATTAGCATAGGGAGGATATCAAGGTCAAGGTCAGCAAGCAAGGCAACAGTTACCCAAAACGGGGGCCAGGCCCTACAGGTCCCCCTTTTACTAGAAAATGAGCTTCTGACTTAGGTTGTGTGGGACGTCAGCAGGTCACCTTACCTGTCATGGAGATGCCTGCCCAGGCCACACAGGTGCTCTGTCTTAGGGTGGTGAGCGCCCCCCAGGCATTACCCGTCTCTGAATACTCATTATCATACAGGCTCTATTGTGTGTGAGCTGCAGAGTTAACTGCTGCCAAAGATCTCAAAGTGGCACTGGGCTTGCAATCTGTGTGTTCGACACAGAGGAGACCAACAGAGGTCCTAACCCACCCATAGCCAGTAGGCTAAAGGCAACTGAGCCATTCCCTTCCTTAATGAGCTTTACTGCAAATTGGAGTCCTCATCAGATGGTATCCCAAAAGCAAGTGGAACTTAAATTTTATAAATTTTATAACTTTCAAAGCCAATCGAAATGTATATAACCACTGAATTAAATTTATCATGCCCAATAGAATGAAAGATTAACTAACTGTGGTAACAACTTTTGCTGCCAGGGTCTCCACTGTGCTAGCTGTAGTAACCAATTATGAAATGGCAATCCCAGAAACAGTAGCAGCGGTGGCTGCCACTGCTATACCAGCAACAACGGTAGCAGCGATGTCAAATTCTCTTCTAGAGCATGTGGGCATCCACTGGCATGGACATAACTCCAGGAACACGAACCACCAAGGCCCATTTTTCTTGATCCCAGCACGACTTAAGCTGGCAGCTCTGCAAAAGAACAACTAAGAACCATAAAGAAAAAACAGGCAGCTCACAAGGAGCAGAACTAATGGACTCATAATGGCTACATTCAGCCTCACAAATTTTAAGGTATCTTCAAAGGGGGCTAAATGAATTTCAGGAGGCCAATAAATGTTGCAGAGAGCCATTCCTTAAAAGTAGGTACTACACCAGCTTGAAGAGGATTGTGAAAATGAAAAGACTTAGAGAAAGGGTGCATTTTAAGTCAAAAGACCTTCCAAGCAGAGGAATAGAGGCAGAGGCAGCATGGTGGCACTAACGGTACTTAAGGACGAGCCGACAGGGTCTCATTGGTTAAGAGTATGCACCACCAGCTGGTGGCACATGCCTTTAATCTGAGCTCTCAGGAAGCACAGGCAGGTTTGAGTTTGAGGCTAGCCTGGTCTACATAGTGAGTTCTAGGCTAGCCAGAGCTACATAGTGAGACTCTGCAGTAGACCCAAGTTCTGCTCCCAGCACCCATTCAGGAGGCTCAACAACTAAGACCCTTTCCTGGCCTCTTCAGGTGCCTGAACTTACATGCACATACCTCCACACAGAGACATATACATATACACATAAATCAAAATAAATCATTTTTAAAAATGTTTACTGGGCAGTGGGGTGCACGTCTTTAATCCCAGCACCCCAGAGGCAGAGGCAGGCAGATCATTGTGAGTTTGAGGCCAGCTTGTTCTACAGATGGACAGCCAGAGCTACATAGAGAAACCTCGTCTCAAAAACAAGACAAAACAAACAAAAAACCCACCCAAACCCAAAACAAACAAAAGGGGACTTCCAGGAGTAACTGACCCACATCCACTTGCATTTCTTCAGCAGTGGCAGTGTTGGTGGGCCCTGTGCTCCTGCCCTCCCACCTGAGGCTGACCAGAGAAACTCTGGCTCTTGGCACTCTCAATCCTTAGCAGCATGTGCTGAGAGAACAGCACCAAATTCAGCCTGTTAGGACAGGGCCCTGGTTTCCTGCCTCTTCATCCACTTCTGCAGTGGTGTATGTGCCCCACAGGCAAACACATTAGAATGTGCCTTTGCACCCCCATTTTGGCTGGAGTGTGTTGCTGGCAGCTGAAGAACCTTGGCTAGCTCAGTATTTAGCTGTGAAGTCGTGGAGGAACATTCACATAACAGAACAGGTTTTCTTGGATGATTCAAATCACACTGTTACCCAAAGAATTGGCATTTCCCCCACAGTAATGACAGTAAAATGTTTTCATTATTAGAATTCATCTTGAGTAATGTGATTTATTAGTATGCAGAATTCATTTTTCATTTATTTCTATTTAATTTTTGAGACCAGATCCCACTATAAGTTAAGTTGCTATAGAACTATATAACTGAGGCATGATCCTCTTGCCTCAGTACCCTGAGTGCTAGGCTTATAGGCGTGTGTGTCATCATATATGGCTTACATTTGTTTGGATTTGACTTTAATTTCTAAAAGTAGAGGACCAGAAACAAGTACTATGAGTAATTGTTTGTTTGCACATCTTTTAAAATATTTTCTTTTCTTTTTTTAAAAGTTTTTATTTACGTGCATTGGTGTTTTACCTCCTACATGTATGTCTGTGTGAGGGTGTTGGCCCCTGGAACTGGAACTACACACAGTTGTGAGCTGCCATATGGATGCTGGGAATTGAACCTGGGTCCTCTGGAAGAACAGCCAGTGCTCTTAACTGCTGAGCCATCTATCCAGCCCTTTTTTATTTTTTTTTATTATTTATTTTTTTTATTTTTCAAGACAGGGTTTCTCTGTGTAAATCTGAATTGTAACTCACTTTGTAAACCAGGCTGGCCTTGAACTCACAGAGCTCCACCTGTCTCTGCCTCCCAAGTGCTGGGATTAAAGGCATGTACCACCACCACCCAGCTTTATTTTTTTTTATTAATTAATTTGTTTATTTATTTTGAGTTAAGGTCTTATTACATAGCCTTGGCTGGCTTGGAACTCATAGATAATCCCCCTTCCTCTGCTTCCCAAGTGCTAAGATTAAAGGAATGTGCCATCACGCCCAACCCAAGCATTCATACTTTAAAGAGGATGTAGAAGTAACCAAAATCCAGTGGTAGGGACCTAGTGACAACTTCTGCCAGGCCTGGATTTGTTTCCTCCAGTCAGTGCAGAGACTCACCAGGAGCTGAGCATCTGGTGATGTCTCCTTACCCTGGGTGTGCATCTAAGTCCGTTTCAGTTCTCAGGCATGCTGTGTTTCTCCCATTCTCACTGTCTTGCCTTTACTGCGGCAAAGCCTTGAACCTGCATTGAGTAACATCCCCAGTGCTCTAAAGCCAGGCTGTCCTTAGTGATTGGTGTGTGTGTGTGTGTGTGTGTGTGTGTGTGTGTGTGTGTGTGTATGTGTGTGTGTGTGGGTGGGTGGGTGCATATGTGCGCGCGCACATGAGTACGTGTGCCATGATGCATACATGGAGATAGAGGACAACACTGTAGAGTTAGGTCTCACCTTCCATCTTTATGTGTGTTCTGGCGATTGAACTTGGGTTGCCAAGATTGCATGGCAAGTGCCTTAACCTACTTCACCATCTCCTCAGCCCTTTTTAAAACTCACTATGTAACGACAGATGACCTTAAATTTCAGATCCTCAGAAGTCCTGGGATTACAGGCATGTGCCACCATACCCAGTTTATGAAGTGTTGTGGATTGAATCTAAGCCCTGCATCCTGGGCAGTACTCTGCCACAGCACTGCGCCACAGCCTCAACTTTTTTTTTTTTTTTGAGTCAGGGTCTCACTATGGAGCTTTGGTTGGCCTGGTACTTGCTATGTAGACCAGGCTAACCTCAAACTCACAGAAATCTGCCTGCATCTTTCTCCCAAGTGCTAGGATTAAAGGTGTGCACCACCATGCCCACCCTAGACTTTTTAAATTACATTTATTTATTTTTTATTTGTGTGTGTGTGTGTGTGTGT